TGAGAGCTGGTTAAGCACAGCACTGTGCTGAAGCCCAACTTGTCAGTCAGCAGAAGGAAGTCAGAATGACCCACTCGGTGACACCGACAGAGTTCACGGGTCACAAATCAGGAGATTTGGTTCTATCATTATCAAATGCTCAACCTCGGCCATGGCAGTTTGTGAGAGCGTCCGATAAATCCATAAAGTGACGTGACCGGGCTGATGGTTTTCATTCCAGCTGTCCTCAGAACCCCAGGCTCCCCGGAGGCCCGGAGAGCAGTTCAAGGCCAGTGTGCCCACTCCAGTCAAAGAAGCTCAGCTTACATCTCTTGCCTACTCAAACCTCTCAAAAGGCCGCTTTTTAAAAACCTGGGTCTGATGCTTCAAATCGAGAAAAAGCAAAGACAAACACTGGGACTGGATGATCTGTAAGTACGCTCTTGGCACTGTGATTTCAAGATCTTTTTTCTTTTTCCTTTTTTTTTTAGTGGCTTGCTGAGGAAAACACATTTTCCTCTTTTTAAAACAGGCTTGTGTAAGACTACATCAACTGTTTTGCATGTCAGAGCCATCTTACAAAATGCTAATTTAACATTTGCAGTTTAAAAATAAGTCAAGGATAGAGAAGCTCCCATTGTCCCTTAAGAAGCATATATAAACTTTAGGACGTATCTATCAAACAGGAGTTTGGGTTTCCCAGTCTGAGACACTTTAGGAATAGTTAGTGGTAATAGACGGATTCCTAGCACTGTTAGGATTTTGCCTCAAGAAAAGCAGCAGGGGTGGATGAAGTCTAGGGTGTTTGAGGAAGCTGGCGAGGATGCTGTGATTGAGGCTTGGGATGTATGCAGTCCTAGACCCCCTGCCTGGGCTTTCTCCACACTAACAAAGGGCAACCAAGAGTTCGTTGCTCACTGAGAATATCTGCTCAGGACTCTTTTTCTATCTTACCACACAGACTGGAGCTCAGAGTTAGCTGCAGAGGGAGAGGACTGGCCAAGCGCCCATCCATCCAGGGCTGAGTTGAGACAGCCAGGCAAAGTGATATACTCACCTGAGAAGCAAAGACTTGTGACCAAGAGCACCTCATGTTAGGAAGTATTTTGAAAGCCCATGAGTTGCCATAGCAAAGTACTACTGACCATGTGGTTCAAAGAGCGGAAGTCTATTTTCTCATCATTTTTGGGGCCAGCAGGCTAAGATGAAGGCACACTCTTCCAATACCCCTCCTTGGCTGCTGTTTCTCCGTGTCTTCATGTAGTGCCCACGTTCCTGTACCTGCCTTGTCTCTGACTCTCTGTCTGTTTGTCCTAATCACCTCTTCTTATAAGGGCAGTGATCAAATTAGATTAGGATACACCCCAGTGACCTCATTTTAACTCAATTAATACAGTCACACTCTGAGGTCCTGGGTATTAGGGCTTTCCCATGTGAATTTGTGGGAGGGCACAATTTAGCTCGTAATTGTGCTAATAAAGACAGGAGATTTTTGAGCTGAACGTAATAACACTATTATTATCATTAGGTTATGACTACTTGGCATGCATTTTTCTCCTCATGATTAATTTCTGGTCAGGCCATTTGAAATGCTGCTCTTTAGTGTCCTGCACAGAACTGACCAGTTCTGGCCAGAGCTGGATATTAAGGATATGAGGGTGTCTAGGTTGTAAGACGCATCTTACATAGCGTTCCGTATACCCTCCATGTCCTGATTTTGATCTAAGGTGTTTAATGATGAGACCATTTTGATTTGTTTTGAGACAGGGGAATGGTTCATTTTTTAAAGCTACCAAACAAGCAGTCATGGCTGTGAAGAAACACATGGTTACGCAGGAACAGGATTTTAACAGTGGGACAGTATGCCACATTTTGAGTCATATGGGAAGGATAAAAATAGCTCAACAACAATGGGAATTATGAAAAGCTCCTACTGAGCAGTTGCTAAAACCCTGTAGGGCCGTAAAGGGAAGTAAACGTTCATCTAGGGGCGACCTCCTACACTCATTTGTGAGTGAAGCTTTTCCTGGGGTGACAACTACCAGGGTTCCATAAATACTGGGTGATTGATTAATAGGAAAAAAAGAAGCCGACCTAGAACTGCCGTCCCAGACATGCTTTTAATATTTGAAGAAGTCTGAAGTTAAATCTTCCAGTGTTTCAGGAGCTTAACTCTGGAGGAGGAAGATGATTCCTCCCAGCACTCATGAAGGGATTCAGAATGAATGGGGACTCGGTGAATAATAGGCATGGCTGGCTTGCCTGTCCAGTCTTAGGTGGCAGACACGTGTCTACATCAATTAAACACCCCCTAGCACCCCTTTCGACTCTAATATGGGGATTGTCTTGGCAGTGCATCAGCAAATGAGCTTGGGCAGTCTCGAGTGCTTTTCCTGGGTCGGTCTTTTTCAAGATGGGGCTGGGATAGTCTGCTTCCCCAAACTTCGCTGCTGTGACACATAAAGAAAATGATGATTCTGTGGAACACTGTAATGACCAGACATGTCCATCAGAAGTCATTCAAGCCGCTGTAGCTGGGAGAGCTGAATATGGGGACTTGGTTAATAGACATCAGAGCTGAGAAGGTGTGGGACTCAGAAGTTATTTAATGAAAGGCCTTGAAGATGCTATTTCCAGGCTGGGGAGAGAGAAGGGAAAATGAGTGGGAGCCTGGATAAGTTTTTAGGGACCCATGGCCAATCTTCTGAAGCTTGCTGACTGGGGACTTACGGAACCATCAGAGTTTGGAGAAGAGGCCCGGAAACTCTGGAGTCCACTCTTGGAAGTGTATTGTCCGGTAGGTGGCAAAAGCTGGAAACTGGGCTCCACCCCACTGCAGGGCTGAAGAATCAGTAAGCAGGAAATAACCAATTGGTTTTTCCTCTTCCTGCCTCCAGTCTCCTGTTATGCCCTCCCCGGGGCCCTCTCGGGCAGGTCCTCTGCAGAAGGAAAGATGCATATGAAGCTTTCTAACACTGGCCTCCGGGAGTAGAAGGTGGGCCTGGCACTGGGATGCCATAAGTGACTAGTTGGCACCCTAGACTGTCAGTACAAGGTGTCTTCTGCCACTGTTAGGCACAACCCCATTGCCACCCAGGGCACTGAGGGGTGCCGAAGGACATCAGCTCATCTACAGCCCAGTATGGGCAGGTCTGTCAGGAAGTACTGGTTTAGTCAGGAGCAGATGAGCTAGTATTGTGGGGTGAGGATGTCACGTGAGAAATGGAAGAGCTCTCAGATGTCGGAAGGGAAGAAGAGTGGCCACAGGTTGGGAAGGGAACACAAAGACCCCAGACATGGGCTCTGGAGACATCATACTAGTAGTGCTGAATGCCCGTTCTACCTTTAAGCTCCCCTGGCCTGGGGGCCAGCTACTTAACCTTCTAAGCTTCATGGAGCTGCTGTGAGGATTCAATGGGGGTAATCCTGGTAAAGTGCTTAGCCAGGTATTTGCTGCAGGGTGATCATTCAGTAAGTGTTTCTATTATTGGAAAAATATGTGGAACTCATTCACCCACTCCAACCCAGAGAGGCTCCTGCAAATGCACCTGATGACTTCCTTCCTTCCTCATCCTGGCAGGTCTGTGCTGCCCAAAGTCTGCATGGGATGCCACCTGATCTTGACGGGCCACCTGGCTCCTTTGTCCTCCATTGCAAATCTGGAGTAGTGGGGTGTCCTGGCTGGTTATTTTGCCACCGTGTGACACATGTTAGAATCGTTTGGAAAGAGGGAACCTCAACTGAGAAAATGTGCCCCCCCTCAGATTGGTCTGTGGGCAAGCCCATGGGGGCATTTTCTTGGCTGTTGATTAATGTGGGTGGATCCAGTCCATTGTGGGCAGTGCCAATCCTGGGCAGGTGGTTCTGGATGTTACAAGAAAGCAGGCCGAGCAAATCATGAGGAGCAAGCCAGTAAGCAGCTCTCCTCTATACCTCAGCTTCAGTTTCTGCCTCCAGTTCCCTCCTTGAGCTCCTGCCTTGATGTCCCTCGATGATCTACTACAAGCTATAAGCTGAAATAAGCCCTTTGGTCCCCAAGCTGTATTGGTCATGGAGTTTTATCATAGAAATAGAAACCCTAACTGAGACAGGAGAGCTGTGTCATCTCTTGCTCTACTGACCAGTGTGATCTAGGTCCATGTGACAGTCACTGCCTTGCGATCTGGGAGTGTTGTTTGCTCTGTGGTTGGAATCTGAACAACAGTTCTTTATTATGAACGTCGATGTTAGAGCAGCTAGAATCGGTTGCTTATTCGTGGTGACTGCGGGTACTCCACCAGATGTTCTATCATATACAAGAGTGGCTTCACAGTACACTTGGAGGAGTACCAGACTCAAAGGCCATGCACTGTGTTTAAGGTGCTCTAGGGCCAAACGTACCACTTCTGTCTACAAGATCATCTCATACTTCCACACTGAGCCTGCTACTGGATCCATCCCTGCTGTTGAAGTAGGACTTGAGGCTTCAGCTCTAGCCTGGATAGCCAGCATTACTATTTTTAAAATATATATACATAATTTAGAAAACATGTGTATATGTGTGTGCTTCTGTATGGGTATGTGCAGAGGCCATATGAGGGTGTTAGATCCCCTGAAGCTGGAGTTATTGGCAAAACTAGCCTTCCAACATGGGTGCTGGGAACTGGACTTAGGGCCTCTGTAAGAGTAACATGTGTTCTTAACTGCTGAGCTGTCTCTCCAGCTTTGGGTGTTACCTTTAAAACAGTTTTGGGGGGCAGGAACTTTATTGTGGTGAACTTTATTGATGGTGTTCAAGAGACTAGGCCTCTCCAAGTTCCGCCCCTTCTTCTTGCGGTCTAGGATGGAATCTATGAGGGGAATGCTCAGTACTGGGTACCGAGTTGGGACAGGGACTCTCAGCAGCCAAGGGCTTCTCTTTCTCTTGTGTTCTTATTGGAGCCGGCGGTCCAGAGTTTCTTACTCCTTAGAGTCCATCTAGGCCATGAGGTCCATCACCCTGTTGCTTTCACGCTATTCATTGTTATACCAGGAAATGAGCTTTATAAAGTTGTCATTGAAGGCAATGCCAGCGCAGCATCAATGGCAAAAGAGTGAGCATCACTGCAAAAGTCCAAGGAGATAACTTGGTCCTCAGTGTAGTCTAGGATGCCCTTCAGTGGGGCCCTCTGATGCTTCACCATTTTCATGATGTCGTCATACTTGGCAGCTTTCTCTCGGCAGCATGTCAGATCCATGATGGACATATTGGCGGTAGGAACATGGAAGGCCATGCCAGTGAGTTTCCTTTTCAGCTCTAGAATGACCTTGCCCACAGCCTTGGCAGTGCCAGTGGATGAAAGGATGATGTTTTTGGCAGCTCCAAGGCCATCACACCACAATTTCCCTGAGGGGCCATCTACAGTCTCCTGGATGACTGTGATGATATGGACTGTGATCATGAGTCTTTCCACGATGCCAAAGTTATCATAAATGACCTTGGCTGGGGAGAGGGGCTAAGCAGTTGGTGATTCAGGAAGCATTGCTGACAATCTTGAGTGGGTTGTCATATTTCTCGTGGTTCACACCCATCACAACCATGGGGCATCAGTAGAAGGGGCAGAGATGATGACCTTTTGGCTCCACACTTTAAGTGGGACCCAGTCTTCTTCTTAGTGATAAAGATGCCAGTAGATTCCACAACATATTCAGCACCAGCATCACCCTATTTGATGTTGGCAGGATCTCACTCTTGGAAGATGGAGATGGCCTTCCCATTGGTAACAAGTTTTCCATTCTCAGCCTTGATTGTGCCATGGAATTTGCCATGGGTAGAGTCATACTGGAACACATAGACCATGTAGTTGAGTTCAGTGAAGGGATTATTGATAACACCAATATCTACTCTGCCAGAATTGAAGGCAGCCCGGATAGCCAGACAGCCAAAAAAAAAAAAAAAAAAAAAAAAAAAAAGGCCAAATCTGTTCTCTCTGACCTTCACCATTGTGTTCCAAGGATGAGGCTGGCGTTGTATGAAAAGAAATGCTGTCTCTGGAATGGGGAGGAGCAGAGAGCCGCCATTAATATGTTTTGTCTTAATTGCATGTATTTATTTTGTGTGCATGTAGAGGGGGAACATGATGGTGCCATTATGTGCAGGCAGAAGTCCGAGGACAACCTACAGGAGCCAGTGCTCTCTTTCTAACCTGAGCCCTAGGGACTGAACCCCAGTGAGTTTGGCTTGACGGCAAGTGCCTTTATCTGCAGAGTCATCCCACCTGCTCTGATGTAGCCTTTCAGATCCTGTATTAACTAACATGGGGAAAGGGAGGTGCCTGTGTGGGATGATGTTCCTTGTTTATTTGACACCTGAAATCTCTCCAGTGTAACACATCACCTCAGTGGCAAGTTCCAACACCCACCAACCACCAACCAACAAAAACAATATTGCCTTTATCCAAAGGACCGAGGATCTTTAGAGCTTGGCCTGTTAACAGTTCCACCTGGAAAGGCAGAAGAGTTTCTTGCTGGAAGCAATTGGGAAACAATGGGTTAACTGATGAAGGTTTAAATAATGTTTCCTAGTTTAGGTTCTTGGCCCAGCTGTTAGGCTACTGGTGTTAGCCGGTGAACCTGCAAGGAGAGGACACGGCAGGTTTTCAAGGCTCTGTAATTATCAACTGGCTTTTTGAAGGAAAAGCTTTTGGGACCGGGAAATGATCTTGATGTCTTCTGTTTAAATCAAACACTTCTAGGAGGAAGTATCTATCAACTCACTATGGCTTAGGGGAATTAGTCCCACTCTTTCCAGAACTATGGAATGCTCCTTTGCAAGACGCTTGCATCAGCCTCAGCCTTTCTGTCTGGTAGTGACTGTCTGCCCAGGTGTGGTCTGGCTGACTATAGAAAAAGCTGGGAGCAGACAGGGCTGACGGAGGAAGCTTGGCTCCGGAAGCACTTCAGTTTTTAACCCTCTGCAATCTGCTTTGTTTTGCTTCCTGGGTCACCCAAGTCCTGCCTTTTGCTGCTTGTGTCTCCCCATGTTCTACAACTCAGCTCGACTGCTACAAAGATGAGCTACATTGGCTTTCCACCTGTCCTGCCTCTTGGCGTCCCCTGCCTTCTCAGGTCAGTTTGCACAGTTTAGGTTAAATCAGCAGAGGAGGTCGAGGAGGCATTAGTGATGCAGGGACCCATCAGGATGGTCAGCATGGCCAACGCGTTATTCACAAGAAAGAATGACTAGTTCCTGTCAGTGGTCCACACTCCCAGGCTGGCTCTCCCCTCGCAAACTTCAGAAGCGTGTCTCTGAACCTGGTCCCCCAAAGGCCACCCGAAGAAGTATGTAGGTCCCTCCAGGTTACACGCAGACAGAGATCTGGGAAACAGAGTTAGGCTGTGAGTGGAACCGGAGAGTGGTCATCTTGGAGATGCATTTGCTGCCTACTTCTACCCTAAGCCTTACTGGGTCCGACTGCCAAAGCACACATCTCTCTCTCTTTTCCCCACAGGAGTTTTCAAAGGGAAACTGGCTTTAAAACCAAGGGACATTTAAAGGAATACACCATTAAAACACCCCCCCCCCCAAATAATGTAGGTACCCCAAACAATAATGAGGAAAGAGTTGGGGACCCAAAGAGGTCATCTTCCCTAGTGCTCATCTGCTCCCTTGAGTGAGGCGAGCTAAGATGTCTCTGATTGACAGGACCCCTCCTCTGAATGAGGACCTGGTATCTCACCACCCCTGACACCTACTCCATTACTGATTTTAAAGCTTCCAGCCTCCTTATGGGGCCCCTTTGACAGTAACGTCTCCCTCTTTGGTCTGGGTCCAAGGCAAACCAATACTGGACTCAGTGCTGCTCTGGGGTGGCCCTGTCTCCATTCTCCACATGCTGCTTTAGCTCCCGGCACATCCTTCCTGCAACCCAGGAATCTACAGCCAGCCACCACTCGCGTCCATTCCGGGGCCCTGATTCTTAGACACTGCCTCTTGTTTCTCTGGCAACCTGGCTCCTGCGTGTCTAAGTCTGGCCTGTGACCTTGGCTCTCTAAAGGACCTTGATATTAAAAACTCTTCCCAAGCTCTAGTCCAGGTTCAGGACTCTGCTGCCTTTGTGTTGACAGTGAAGAGAGGCTGCAGAAATAGGCTCTTGGGAACTAGGCATGGAGCCCTCGTATTATACTCACAAACACCATCTCTCTGGCTGAAACAAACATATTATAAGTCGAGGGCTGGGAATGTAGCTCAGTGGTAGAGAACTTGCCTTGAGGGCACAAAGGCCCCGGGTTTGAGCCTCAGCATTGTCAAAGAATAAAACCAACAAAATGTAAGTTTACAAAGGTAAAAGGAGTGGAGAACCCATGGGAAACCAAAATGGCAAGGCTGTTTGTGTGGTGGGTATTTACAAATAATTATAACAACAGACGCTTATTAAGCAATGGAAATGTTTTGGGTGCTGTGAGTTCTGGGTGCTGAGGGCTTATGGGTGGACACAGCAGCATCTCTGTTTTCATGGGGCCGATAATGTAGTGGGAGGGAACAACGAGCATGAATAATGAGAAAGTTGATTGGCGTACAGGGAGGAGAGTGCGAGGGAAATCAGTAGAGCAGACAGAGGTGATAGGACACAGAGGGGTGGCCAGAGGCTTAAAGAAGGCATCAGGAAAGACCTCTTGGAGATGACGTCAAGGAAATAAAGTCGTGATCTAATCAGAAATCTAGAACAGGCAAGAGTGATCCAGGAAGAAAGGGTGTCCTTTGCAAAGGCCTTTAGGTGTTTGAGCAATAACAAGGAAGCCAATGTGCCTGGAACTGAGCACCTGAAGGTGGAGCAGAGAAAAGAAGGTCCAAGTCATAGAAGATGCTATGGGCACTGCAGCGTCTGAGGCTCTGAGAAAGATCAGGAGCCCAAGTTTGGTTTTGAACAAACAAATGATGTGATCTGATGAATAACTATACTTAAACTTTAATTATCATCATCATTATTATTTACTAGTGTGTGTGAGAGAGAGGGAGAGAGGGGGAGAGAGAGAGAGAGAGAGAGAGAGAGAGAGAGAGAGAGAGAGAGAGAGAGAGAGCGAGCATACTGTAGCACTCGTATGAAGATGTATGAAGGCCAGAGGAAAGCTTTGTTAAATCAGTTTCCTCCCCCCTGCCCACCGCTTCTGGGGATGGAACTCAGGTCACCAGGCTTGCACAGCCAGTGCCTTTACCCACGGAGCCATCTCGCCATGTTTTGAAAGAGCTGAATCTTCATTTATTGAGCACTTGAGATGATGCCAGGAATTATGCTAATTAGTGCACATGAACTGCCCCTTCAAATCTGTGCGCGGGGGAGATTCCATTATTATATTTAAATGGTAAGAATCGAGGAAATGGAGGCTCAGAGAGCCAGGACACCACAGGCCCTCGGATAGTGACCAGGCCTAGAAGCCTGGAGCTCAGACTCACAGCTCCCTCCCAAGCTTTGGGTGGCTCTTCTGGTCTTGTTGAACCTTGTAGACTAGCCCCAACCTCAGTAGCCAGGCCGTCTCTACAGAGGCCCAGGCTGGCAGGGGAATTGGTCCTCTTGTTTCATTTAGCTGTCCTTGCACAGTGAACAGTTTATCCCTGGCTTCCCTGAATTGAAATCTTTCTCCACATATGACATCCTGTAGTTCAAAGACCACACTCATAAGATCTATCCCAATAAAATCTGTGCTCCAGCAAGGACAACTGGAACTGAGCCTTGGATGCTGTTCAATGAAGCATCTCTTTAACCTCTGCCTGAAGTGGAGTTAGGCCTCTGCTATACACACGGCTGTCCAGTCTCTATCTGAGCAATACCAGGACTGTATCCCAGGCCTCTTTCAGAGTTCCACCCCCTCCCCCCTCCCCCAGAGAGAACAACACATCCTCAATCTCTGGACAACCATGGGGCCCAAATAGGGCCCTAGCATCCTCAAAAGATGGGAATCTAAAACCTAGACCGTTCGGGTACCCTTAGCCCATCATCTAAGCCATCATGTGTGTCTGAGGAGTGCAGGCATACATGGAGTTGGGGATCTGATGCAAAGGGTTAGGACGAAAGTTGACGGTCCTGTTGGAGAATAAATTTCCCAACAGCTGTTTAGAAGGCGGGAAACCACCCTGATGTGTGTGTGGAGGCCCCAGTTTGGGGCCTGCTCTACTGGACTGTCCCATTGATAGAGGCTTTCCAGCAGCTTTGAGAGTACAATCGCTAAACTCAGTTGTTTAAAGTGGCAGGTACCTCACTAGAAGAAGGAGTCGGTAGAACCCCAATCTATGTCCTTACAGGCTACCTCAGAAAGGTAGACTTCTGCCATGGAGTGAGGCAGAGTGTCCCTCCAGAGACACGAGGCTGGAGGGTGGGGCTCTGTCTTCTGCTTTCTGTCAGCAGTGCACTCAGGCACGGTCAAAGTCCCCACTGCGGGTCCTGGAAGGGCAGTTGGTGCTTCTGAGGAGGCTCTCATGGTCCATGACCTTTTCCTCAGCACAGGAGGCTGGTCCAAGCACACACTTTCTCCCTGGAGATGGCTTTGCCTGGCTTTTGTGATGAAGCACATTTGGCTAGCAGGCAAATGCCAGATCCCTGTGAAGAGCACTAACCTACGAGCCCCTGGTAGACAGGCAAAGCTGGAATGCCATTCTTCTAACCTGTGTGTGGGCAGCTCTGTTTATAAAAAAAAAAAAAAAAAGTCCACACTGTGGTGAAGAACAGAGCAGGTGTGGTCCAAATGGCTTTTCCTTTGTGTCTCTGCTTTCAGAGGTGCGGAGATGAGATGGGTGACGTCTCTGAGTAAAGCTGGAAGGGGCCAGACTCTTGGACACGGTGGAAAGCAAAAGGGAGCCATGTGAAGGAAGGTACGGCTGGGGGATGGAAGGGGTGGCCGGGGAGTGCCTGTGAACATAGACACTGTCACACTCCTGAACTCAAGAATCACTGCAATGGGGCAGTGCATCCCACCGTTAAAAAGTGGTCAGGCCCCCTCAGAAAGCAGAACTCTGAAACCATTTGCTCTTCATTGTTGTTGTTGTTGTTGTTTTTCTCCCTTGCCCTGATGATCCACTCGGAACCAGGCATAGAGATGAAAACAGGCAGTCTGGTTTCCTCATCGAGGACTTCACAGTTCAGAGCAGAGCTGACCAACCTGCTTTTTGAGGGCTAGAGAGCTATGGCACAATCTGCACCATGTCTGTGGCAGAGGCTCCACGGGGGGCTATGAAACACTGCGTTTGCGGGAAAAGGTAACACACTGAATTTTACATGATGTAAACTGTAAATTATACATGCTATGATAAAATCAAAATTGATTAGCGTCTGCACAGCCCCATGCAGTCACTGAATTAGACAATCACAGGGTTAGGGGAGCATTGATTCCTGTGCTGAGAGTCTTAGAAGACACAATCCGAGATGAGCGCGTCTAGAGATGGTGTGGTCTGGGCTGGGCTGGTCCAGTGCCACCGTCAAGGGCTCAGATGTGCTCCAGCTTTACATTTCGTTTCTTCCTTAAGCTTGCCCTCTCCGAGTCACAGGTAGTCACAGCCACAGCAGCAAGCATTTCTTAGAAGCCCCACTGCCCCTCCCCCCAGCACACTTTCTTCCCACTTCACAGAAGCATTGGTGTCACATGGCTTTCTTGAACTGAACGCATGCTTTGTCCCGAGAAGGCACGCAAGGCTCACACTTCGGGCACGGGAAGGCTGAGCGCTCCCGAAGCTCTGAATGTGGGCTGACGCTGAACCAAGCTGGACTATGCTGCCAAAAGAAGGGAGTACCAGGGGGTGTTGAGTAGACAGCCGCAGAACCAGACCAGCAGGGATTCCAACATGTATGCAATTCTAGCACATGGAAAACATAAGGCTACACCAGAGGTGTGAATCAAGGGCTCTGAGAAAATCTTCTTGGGAGATTTAGAAGTGTCAGAGAAAACAGAGGCTTTGAGCAGAGCCTCGGAGAGAAAGATTAAGAACAGTCACACACACACACACACACACACACACACACACACACACACACACACACACGCTGCTTTGCCTGTGAATGAGCATGTTTTACAGACTTCCCTAGCAGATGTGGAATTGTTCAAGCTGCCATGACTTCAGAGAGAGGACTGCACCATTTCCATTGCCTTTTCAAGCTAGCTGTAGTTTCCTTCCTCCCTAAAGACATAAAGGGAGAGGTCCATTGAGGCACACACTCCTACTTTTTGCTCTGTTTTGCCACTACCTTTCAACTGAGCCACCTACCCACACCCTTAGTCCTTCTCTGCTTTATCTTAGTAATCTTAGAAAGCCAGATCTGGGTGGGTGGGCGGGGATCTGCACGAGAGGCAGTTTGCAGAATAAACATGGGAGCTGAGACACAGCATACATACCATCCAAGACTCAATGCCCTCCAAGGGTCCCTGATGATCCGTGACGGCGCCACAGATGCAGCCCAATTAAGCCAATGCTGGGCAAGTCAGGAAGGTTGTAGTAAAGGCACACCAATAACAGCAACAGTAGTGGTATCACCGTCCTCTTCTTCCTTCCAGCTCCTGTCTTGGCAACACTCCATTCCATGACTCCCTGGGGCTGTCTCTGATGGGTGCACCCGGGGGCCAGCCTCCAGGAAGCCAGAAGCTGGTTCCATGAGCCTGCGTCTCTCCCTCATGGAAACTGACCAGGGAAATGGCATGTGCTCCCCTCAGCCGCAGCATCCCACAAGTCCATCGTTCTCCTGGCCTACAGCGAGGGAGGTCTCATTGATAAATGAGATACTCGGGGGTAAAGGGGGTTCATAAAGGTCATCTGCATAATGTGAGACATTTCCCCCACTGAAGCACACACCTACGCACACAGCGACGCACACAGCGACGCACACAGGGCACAAGTGCTTGTTTGTGGAAAAATGCCCTTCACAGCACTTTGTTCCCCCCATTCACTAAATTTTGCTGAGAAAACATGGATGACTGGAAGAAAGAGTTAAGCGAGCTGATGGGAAGTAGCTATTATGCCAACACAGTGTTGAGCCTTCTAATTTTTAGCCAATTGTTTAAAAGACGACAGACGGTAATGTTTATGAGATGTATAATTCAAGGCAAATCTGTCCAGATAGAGAGGATAAACGTCTTTTACTCGGCTAACAAATGTCGGGCAGCATCTAGATAAACAAAATCAACAGAACCCAAAGCACATAATTGCAACTTTGGAGAGATGGGGAAACCATTTTTCTTCAAAAAAGAAAGGAAGGGAGAAAAGAACTGTGTGCGCTTGAATAAGGAGTTGAGATTTTTCTATCCTTCAGGGCCGATCAAATGCATTATCAGTCACAGGTGAAAACAGGACAGATCCCAAGGTTGGGGGAGCGGGAGGCCTGTGTGCTGTCTCCAGGTCATGCTGCCTGCCAGCTTTGCAGTTTCCCCCAACTTTTGTTTTGAGCCAGATAGCATGATCTTTGTTTCATTAATATTTAAGAGTAATTTCGATTGTGCCAGATGATCTTAAAGCTCATTTAAATCAGCTTGGAGATAATATGAAGCTTTCTCCCAGCATAATCTACTGCCATAAGTGACGGCGTCATCTGCATATAAATGACGGCCGGATATGATAATGAATAAGTAAGATGATCAATAAAGAATGACAACTGCTTTTGATTTCAGATCAATCTCCCAGAGACCCCTTCTTCAGTTTGCAGAGCTAGAGATGCATTGTCTTTTTGTTCCTAAATTTTCTAAAGAAAACACAAAAGGTTTTTGTGTGTGTGTGTGTGTGTGTGTGTGTATGTGTGTTTGTGAAATGAATCCTTTATTGTGTTAGAAAGAAGGGGGGGTGATGTCCACAAATTATACACACATTGTTTTGCAAATACAATAATTAGAGTTTGCACAGATTGTTGCTTTGTTGGATTGAGCAAATGTCTCTTGGCAATTTCTGCTTTTCCTCTTTTACTTTTCCTTTTTCTCTTCCTGCTCTTTCTTTTCCTCCTCTTCCGTCTTCTCCTCCAGATACCAACAAGCTGTTTCACTTGGGACTGGTTTGAACACTTGGTCAAACTGCTACAGGTTTTTGGGATTCCTGTCCACACTGCTTTACAGAGGATGTCTTTCTGTACTGAAAAAAAAAGTAATTTAATAAACTACATCTTCCTTGTTCATTAACCTCAGGCTTACTGGAGTCTCTTATTTGAATAAAATTAACTTTGGATAACTGTGTATTAAGTGGGATTTTTAAGAATTAAATTAATGACACCCTTTCCTTTCCTAGGACAGATACCTTTCACTGTCAAGAGAAAAAATAAAATGAGAAGAAATGAAGAAATAGACAAAAAGAAAAGTTAGCACCAGTACACATGTATCGATCTGCGTGTGGTTGGAGGTACAAGCATGTCACAAATGCAGCCATTTTTCACTTTCTTATCAGCTGCTGAGCCGTTACATGATGCTCGCTGTTCTTCCGGCCTTCCTGCCCCTCCCTCCTTCCATTTTCTCCAGAGCCTTGTCTGGACTCTTTCAACACACGGGGCTTCTGAATCACAGGGGTTGGGAGGTGCAGTCTTGACATTTACAGCTGGAAATCGGAGGGAAGCCTTCCCTTGACCTAGAAGAGGCGGTTTCCTGCCTTTCCCAGGCAGAGGGGCCTTGCAGAAACATCGTGTTTGGGTGTGGCTGGTCATCAGAGGCTCAGGTCCTGGAAGGTGAGGCCCAGGTGGATAGAGAGAAGGCAGAACCTTTAGGACCTGAACCTGTCTCTCAGCCCCAAGCAGGTCTCCTGGGATTGGATTGGTAGCATGAGAGAGAGCTGTGACCATCTCAGTTCTTGCTTCCTCTCTCACCCTGTGACTGCCATCTTGTGATGGCACACCTGGCTCACAGCTTTTACACATGCTCCCGCTGTGAGACGCCGTCTGCCATGCAGTGCCATAATCCACAGGCCTCACCAGAGGCTGACCGGATGGGGCTGCCTCATCTTGGACTTCTGGCCTCCCAGAATGGGAGCTGTATAAACCATGTTTCTTTATAAAGTGTCTAGTCTCAGGACTCCTATCAAAGCAGGACAAGATAAGTCACGTGCCCTGGAAGAGGCCATAAGCACCCAGGGTGCACTTTGTGCTGTCTGGTCTGTCCACAGGTCTCTCACAGCACAGGGCATGGAAAGCTGGATGTGTGCTAACTGAAAGAGGAAGTCTATGGCAGAAGACCCAGCTCTCATCCCCACCAAGGAAAGCATTCCCCTGAGCAAATTGGCCTTCTCTTTGTGGGAACTCTCCCCCAACTCTGGGGAAAGTCTCCTTGACTTTCCAGGTCTTTGAGATAAAAGAAAGCCTAGTGAGATGGAGGCTTCCAGGGAGGTTGGGTAGGGGGAATCTAAGAGGATTTCAGGTGCCGTCGAGAGATGTAGGGAAAAGTGAAGTCACATTACTTAGCAAAAATTACCCCACCTGGGGGCTCCATGTCTTGGCCTAGAGTCTTCATATCTTGGCTTGGGATCTCCATGTTTTGACCTGGGGTCTCCATGTCTTGGCCTGGGGTCTCTACATCTTGGTCTGGGGTCTCCATGTCTTGGCCTGGGGTCTCTACATCTTGGTCTGGGGTCTCCATGTCTTGGCCTGGGGTCTCTACATCTTGGTCTGGGGTCTTCCTGTCTTGGCCTGAGGTTTCCATGTATTGGCTTGGGGTCTTCACATCTATGTTTTAATTAAAAATTAGTTTGGGCTTAAGCTCCTTTCCTCGTGGAATCATTTGGGCAGGCTAGAGAGCAGTAAATCATTGTGCCCAGTGGGGTAGGAAGTGGTAGTAGGCATAGGGAGGTTTCATAGAGGATAAGCTAAAGACCAAGACGACCTCCTTGCTGTGTTACCTCTGCCTGGGTGGGAAGGGAGCAGATGTGCACAGGTAATAGAGGGTGGTTTCTAGACAGGCAGTGATGGTGGCTGAGGTAAGATACATCTGTCTGCCTGCTAATGTAATCCACACAGCTTCCTTGAAGGCCACTGTGTTCTTTCCTACCAACTGTTAGAGCCACACATTGCCTTAAGACCATTTACCTTCTTGGGTAGAAATGATGAGAAGGTAGCCATTTGTGGAGAAGACTCAGAGGTTGCCACAGCCCTGATAGCTCATGTGGCATTTGCTGGGCTGCTCTGGGAATTTGAAGTTCATGGAAGGCCATTGTCTTCCTGGAATCCAGGGCCCTTGTGACAGTGATGGAGGGGACTTCCCAGGGAGATGGGCATACTGTGTGATGAACTGTATTTTTAGTGGCCCTGCCTAACTAAAACCAGAACTTTCCTGTCTACATCTGAGCAATGAGGTCCAGAAATCTAGTCAAAAGTCCACCAGGCGGAGTCAGCAGCTAAGTGAAAGAGGCCGAGTGGGACCTGATCACCTCCTGGTGGCTGGGCTGTGAGGCACCAGGACGAAGGTAGCACTAAGGTAAGGTCATGTGGGACACTTGACCCTGAATGCTCTCTGAGCTCACTGTCCTCAGTCGTACACAGGAGGAGGACTCCAGCCCAGCTATGAAACAACCGCAGCTCATTTCCTATTGACAACTAGTGAAGTAGTGGAATACAAGTCTATATTCTCCATAGGTTCTCTCTAAGCGCATATTCCATGGCTCTCCACTGAGGATGTATCAGGCTCTGCATGACACCATCTGTGCCTTACAGTGTCCTCACATGTGACGGTGGTGGACAACATGACCTTTGATTTTCATCCCATCTCTGGTTATTATTTTATGGTACATAGTGAGGAAACTGGGCCAGAGCTGAAATGACCTCTGGCAGAAGAATGGGGATTTGAACTTGAGAAGCTGGACCCTTGGCTGATCACAGTATTGGCTTCCATGGTTCTCGAGTAAAGCTGCTTGATTACATCACAAGCCCTGGAGGTCAGACCCTTCTCCACTGGGGGCCCTGCTTCCATGACTGGTTCTCAGAGCTTAGCACACATGCTCTAAGTTGGAGGGGGGGCTGGCGTTGCAGGTCTAGCATTAGTCTGGGGGTGGTGCTGTTGGGGAACACGCTTGTCCTGTGACTCCTCCTTGTCCTTGTCTCCTAACCCTGGGGGTCACATGCTCTTTTGCAGACTAAGCACCTGCAGATGACAAGAGACTGTCCGTGCTGAGAGGCCTGCTGGACCCTCCAACTGGCTGCTTCACTTTGTTTTCTTCTTTGCCTCTACTTTTACCTTAGCAAGGAAAACGCACACGGGCTGCTTGAGAAATGGCCAGGAGTTTTCATCCCTTAGGGACTGCTCTAAAAAGAGTTCATCAGTTTCCATCTCAGCCATGTTGGGTGGCCCACATGAGGGGAAGGGCCTGTTTGACTGAGAACTTGTATACCAAAGGGGAAGGAGTTGTGGGCCCAGCGTGACCATAGCTGAGGTTCTGACTTCAGGCAGTGCAAGGCATACCTGAGAGATTTCTAAACACCTCTATGCCCAGACAACTTCCAGAACTATTAAAATAGAATGGGAGAGGGGCCCAGGTGGCACACCTTTTAAAGATCCTCATGGCACTCAATTTCGAGCTTCAGGTGTCCGTACCACATTTCTTTTCAATGCAGTAGACTGGTGTAGCTCCAATCCAACTCTTTCCAAGGAGCGAGGTGTGTGTCTACAGTAAAATACAGTGTGGCCTGCAGATCACATGTGAATTCTCAGGAAGGGCTTAGTTCCTCCCAGTCCCTTACTTTTGGTCTTGCAGTATCTGATAGCCTGGGTGATTAGTTATCTATCATGAATGACAAATGGCCCCCTACTTAGTGACTTAAACAGTATCTACTTACGATTTCACAGAGTCTGTGAGAGTGCCTTGCTGGGACGTTCTGGATCAGAGCCTATCTAGTTGTGTTACTGGGAGGCCTCGAGTGTCCTCTGCTCTCCAGCCCAGCAGCAGCCTTGGCTCTGGAAAGAGAAGAATTCAAACAGGACATAGCAATAGATACAGCAGTTAAGAGACTAATTAGGGTATTCAGAAAGCAAGAACATTGTCTTCAGAAAAAGCATGTTGAGCAAGCAGCAATGCCCTTAACCCTGGCAGACATGGGCTTTATATTAACTTTCCCTGTTATCTCCACACTGTGTCCCCCCCAGGGAGGGCACTTTCGGAAAAGGACATGCTTTTCTTAGAAGTCTATTTTATCCAGAATTCAGTCTGTTGTAAGTACGTGTATAAGATGCGAGACTATGTATGGAGTTCAAGTACTCCTAGAGTTTAAAAGTTTACTAGGGGAAAGGGTAAAACATTCTGCACATAGTCCCCTGACCTAGACCTACACATGCTCCAGCTGACAAGATAGAGTCAACTAATGCTATCGATTGTTTTTATGTCCTGTTTTGGGGCCCTACGCTGGTCCAGCTGGAGAGACTACATGACTACACCCATTATCTCCATGGCCCAACTGGAGCCAACCGACATTAAGTATTGTTATTTGCATCCTGTTCAGGGAAGCCCAACTTGAAGACATGAGGGTGGGGCTTGGTTGGACAGGACTCTGAGGGTGTATTTCCAAGATGAATCATGTACTTGATTGTTGGCAGAAGGGTTTGGCTCCACCCCTTCACAGGCTCCTGTAAGACTGCTTGAGCATCCTCATGACATGGCAGCTGACTTTTCTGGAGGACATGGCTTAAGAGAGAAAAGAAGAAGGAAGCCACATTGCTCTTGCTGTTCTAGTTCCCAAGGTCTTTGTAGCAGCACTGACAGTCACTGTCGCGACCACCACATTCACGTCTTTATAAATAAGTAATGAAATACAGTGTACAAGTTGAGAGAAGAAGCAGATCCTACCCTCTAAAGGATTCATGGACCTGTTTTTAAATGACCACGAAGGGCATCAGAGAATCATTGCTTTCCTAGGGACCTTTGCACTCCATTCAGAGGTAGACCATGAAGCCACGTGCAAAGCTGGCACACAGTGAATCCTGGGTCAGTGTCATTATCTCAACTTTCTCTCCTTTTCAACCTGGTCCTTAATCATTTTGCTACAGCCTGCTGCTTACTGGGTTGCTCCTTGTGGTTTGCTCAGCCTGCTTTCTTACAGCACCCAGGGCCACCCACCCAGGGGTGGCCCCCACCCACAATGGACTGGGCCTTCCTACATCAATCACTAATTGAGAAGTGCCATATAAATTTGCCTATGGGCCAATGTTACAGAGGCATCTTTCCAATCGAGAGTCCCTCTTCTCAGATGACTCTAGCTTGTGTCAAGATGACAGAAAACTAACCAGAGCAAAAGGCTTGATATCCAGCTAGGAGTATTGGGAAATAATGGAAACCTTAATAAGTTGGGATGAATGGAATGTCTTCAGGTCACTGGAGGTATGACCTTGGAGGGCATTATGACATTCTAGCTCCCCTTGTCTTTTACTTCCTGGCCATGAGGTGAGTAATTCAGCTCCCTATGTACTCCTGTCATGATAAATTGCATCACTCAGAGGAACACAGGCAAGGCACATACTGAAGCCCCCTCAAGTGTAAGCCAAACCAACCTCTTCTTTGTGTAAGCTGGTCATCTCAGGTAGCTTATAATAGAGACAGATGCTGACTAGCACATATGAGAGACCACATGCTCATGGACTCTACGATATCTTATTCTGTTGTATCACTAGGTATTATTATTAATCTCTTATTTCCCTTGGTTGTAGGTGTGCTTGCAGAAGGAAGTGCAGTGTATGTATGAGGGCTCAGCTCAGCCTGCTGTTTCACACATCCATGGTGGATCTCGGAACACATTCCTCTCTGACCAGGGAGCACCACTTAGGGTGAGAGAATATTTTTCTTGTTGCCAGATTGGATTGATATCATATAAAGTCTAGATTTGAGCTCTTGGAAATTAGTCATGGTGGGAGAAATTGATTTTGTTTGTCACATTTTAAAACTGGATTTTAAATTAATTAGATGCAATTTACTTCACTTAAGGCACAGGTTTTACAAGTATGTTCTGAGGAACCTGACTCTATGGAGATCTTTCGGGCATTTTGTGAATCTTTGATTTAAAAATGCTATATGCTGGCCGGGCGGTGGTGGCGCACGCCTTTAATCCCAGCACTCGGGAGGCAGAGCCAGGCGGATCTCTGTGAGTTTGAGGCCAGCCTGGGCTACCAAGTGAGTCCCATGAAAGGCGCAAAGCTACACAGAGAAACCCTGTCTCGAAAACCAAAAAAAAAAAAAAAAAATGCTATATGCTATTAAATGTAAATCAAGAACTTATATTTAACAATCAGTATGTTGGCTTTACCTACTGCTCTAGCTTTATGTATGTGAGCCCAGATATTGTAATGTTTTCCCTGCTACCACTAGTAAGGGAAAACTATCTTGAGTTTGAAAAACAAAAAATGAAAAAAGAAAGTTAAACTGTTACGTCTGTAGTTACTCATCTGTAGGAATGAGACTTCCCTCTGTATCACACAATCAAAGCTAGATATAAAGTACATTGGATGCTTGGACTGGTACAGTTTCAATTTACATCTCTAAATCCCATTTCAAATGGTGTCTCGATGATTCTATTATTATCTCACTTGATGCCTCATAAATAAAAGTTATGAATTAAAGCCTATAAAAATAAATGCTTAAAAATAATTCATCAATGTTAACC